CCATTTTGTGTCTGAGCCCCGGGTACTAGCCAGTGGCTGCAGTGGATGGCGCCAGTGCATACACAAGAAAGCAGTATGATATTGTCTTACTGGAAATTTGATGAATAAAGACTACACTCTATCCAGCCAAACAAAAGCTACATACAATTCACCCGAGCTTTTACAAAAGTATGTGATTTCACAGCATATGCTGATGTGGTAGTTACCTTTTTAATTTGAGCTTTGTCGGGTTAAATTAATTATATTTGATCTAATGTACATAAAATATATCAAACAGGAAAAGGGTAGGTGTCTTAATATAAAAACAACATCTTTGGGACAGTACAAAATATCTATAACTGAACCTTGATCAATCTTGTTTATAGAAAAGATACTATATGTAATAGCAAATTAAAATGACTTGTTCACGAATTAATTAAATTAGCTGTATGTGGTCACGGAGAAAAACTGCTTTGCACATCCACAATTTTTTTCATATATAAGAAGCCAATTTATTGTTGAAAGTGCTATCAATGTTATCCATTAATTAGTGGTTACACTATCTGTTACACTGTTCAACAATAATTTTGATATGCAACATGATTCCAGATAATGGATATACTAACAATCCAGTGTGCAAGAGACAACATGTTCACACAGTAGTGGTTCAGTACATTCACTATCGAGTGTATTTCATGTTAAATACTACAGTTCTTACTGAGAGAATGGCCATTTTTAAGAAAAGCTGTAGTTGTTGAGGGTAATGTCTGCCCGTCCAGCAGCAGCAAAATCAACCCTCTTCAGACACCGCCTCTTCCCCACCCCCTTTTTACCCTGTAAATTATAGCAGCACTTTAGCTAATGAAAGAGTTGAAGACCGGGCACTAATAAAAGCCATTAAGTGAATAAAGCACTTCCCCCTCTAACAAAATTAAAGAATCTACCCATTTGGAGAAAGAGGACTCTGGATTAATATTTATGAAATGCGGAACCAGCGGCCCCCCCAAACTCCCCAACCCACATCCAATCCTAGCCTGACCAAGTCCTCCTTGCCAGTGCACCTATCCCAAGAGAACATCATCAACCCCTCCTAGCATGAAGGAGGGGCAGGAGATGGGGACTTGAAGGGTGCTGAGGACGCAGTCAGAACAGTCTGTCTCTAGTAGAGCAAGCTGGAAGACCCCAAGACACAGCTCAGAGAACTCAGTCGCTTTCATCACCCCTCAGTCTACTGCACCTAACATCAACTTTGAGGCAAGTGGATGAAAAGGTGGGTTTCTTGGAAAGACAAGGTGTAGAAGTGACTTTCCAAAGACAGCAGCTGGTGGTTGCTGGTAAAATGCAGAGTAAGTTATGACAAAGTTTTTGTAGTGCTGTGTTGAAAATTTGTAAGGCTGGTCCACTGTGGCCGAATATTTGATACAGTTTCGTGCTTTCAATCAGTTGATGATAAATAACTGAAAATATTTAAACAATTTTTGGTTGAATTTAGAATTAGATTCAAAGATTTATTTTTGGTTGAATTTAGAATTAGATTCAAAGATTTAGACCTGAATTTGCAACTCCTGAAAATTCCTGATTGTGGTCATCCATGTCAATTTTGCGAAGAAAGCCAAAACATCAAAAACAAGGTAAGAAAGCATCTTTATGTATCACAATCATCCATGCATAAAAACCATCACACCATCAGCCATGCTGCATCCCTTTGAAACATCCTCATTGTTCTGAAAAACAGAGGTCCGTTTCACCGCCACCACCCACCATTTTCACCCAAAATACTCCCATTTTCATGCCATTTGGTCACTACAAATGCAGAGTTTCTACATGATGCATTCAAATGCATCATGGTGTAATTTCATCACACAAAGTGGTTTAGTTGTCTGGGCTCTAAGTTGATTATCGCACCAACCCTCCTCATTAGTAAAACTCCCTGGGGAGTCGAAAGAGAGACAAGAAAAGGTAACAAGATTGCCAAACCTTTTGGAGAAATGGTTCTCTTAGTGTGATGATATCATGACTTGACACTGCTCTTGGTGACCATTAATGCAGTCAGTACTAAAATGTTAGGAGTGGTTGTGTCCTTACTCTGAAGAGAGATAAATGTTCTCAGATGGACTACAGCAATACAGTTCATTGGTGTCACTGGTCGCCAGGATTATTTTGTTTAACTGTCAATTATAAGTACAATTTCAGAGACTGGACTCTCTTAGATGCTGCAGTTCTTAACAAGATCACTGACGAATTACCCAAACTCTTTTTCTATTGATCAGCTGACGAACACCCAGTTGAGAACTAACTTGATTATCGTTCCTTGAAGTATCGTTCCTGAGGCCTGCAGAAAACCTTTTCTTGAAAATGTTGTGTTTGTACAAAAGAAATTAATTTTTACAATTTTTTTGTTGTTGTTGTTATAGTAGAGTCGGGCGTGAAGGACAGGAGGGTGGGGCCTGACGCAGTTTGTGCGCAGGAAGGGTGTAGCCCAATTTTTCCGCAGTGAGTTTGACCTATGACTAATTGTTTCTTTTTATTCTGCAGATGTTCTTAACTGTAGCTGTGTTACAATTCTTCATTCTAATCATTGCGTAAACCAGTGGTGCCATTTTTTTGACACTCATGAGCCCAGATTCCCTCCCTCACACCTTCTGATTTTTTTGTCTTTTGACTGCAGATGTCACAGAACTGGCGGTATGCTTCAGCTGCAAGAAACCTTAAAATAATCTGATGATGTTGTATTTCTTTCAAGACTTTTGATACTTACCCACACTCATTTAGAATGAATTATCCATGTTTGATGAAAAGGAAAAATGGTTTTACTTTTATTCTGTCCTTACATTTCATTCATACAGTGAGAAAGTCCGTCAGATGCCTTATACTGAGCTGGATCCTGTGTTAAGTGTTGGGTTATTTTGTCTTTGCCCAGGACCCCATTGTGCTTGATCTAACCATGCAGTGTGTCTTCTGTTCATGGTTATGCCAAGCACCTTGGAGGCTTGAGAGCACAATCTGCCTTCGGTTGTATCTCCCAAAAAATTTTAACTTTCAAGTCTCTTGCATGCAAATGCATGTACTTGTTTTATTTATTTATTTTTTACTTTTTTAAAAATATAAATGAAATAAATTCTAAAACTAAACATTGATACACTTAGAAGAAAAATGAAAACTGTAGACAGGAACTGTAGAGCTAAAGATACAAAAGGACCAATAATTTTTATTATATGGTTTAATCACTTCCATTCTCTAAATGTTTTTGTTTTGATGTTGTTTTACCTCATGATGTAGGACTATGACAATAAATATCATCCTAACATCCTGTGTGTTTTACTGGCATCTTGAATGAACTGATATAAAAAAGTGAGATTGAGTGCAGGTCTTAAACACTTTCGAACAGTCATTCCCAACAAGCTGGATGGTTCCAGTGTGGCAGATTTGTGGAAACAATCAATCACAGTAAATGCTTAGGTGGCTTTTAACTATGGCTAATAATTTCAGCTGGTTAAGATCATACATTAAAACAATATGCATTCTGTTAAGACTGCAGCCACATTACAGATCTGTAAATCAAACCATGAGACACTGCGCAATGTCTAAGACATACAAGCTGATGTGTTGTAGACACAGTTCATGTTCTTGAGATGATGATGATATTAGGCTTGTTTCTACACAGTGCTCAGCTCCTTATTTTTCATATTTGTCTCTTGTCCCAGTAAAATCCCAACTAATGAATTTAACCGATATATTTTAAATGATGAAAATGACTCCTTCTTTCTTTATGACTTAATTTAATTAAATTACTTTACTAACACACCATGTGCAGCATCCATTAAATGATAATGCATACAATAAAATATTGCTGTACAATTTTTTTGCTCTGATCCATTGTCAGACCATTACAATGATGAAGTCCACCAAAACCTTGTTTTGTTATGTTGTTCCAAATCAATGTCCTCTATCCTGGAAAAATAGGTTTGCATGCATTTGTCATGTCCTACATATTTCAAGGAAATACACCTTCCTTCATGTGGGAAAGGTAATCTTGCCAGCAATATGTCAGACTTAAAATGACTGATATTGTTATTGATTATTGTTGGTTCAAGCTGTATTTTATGGGATTGCACTCTCACCATGTGTGATGTGCTGCTTCAGTTCCTTGGCTGTAGTTGCAATGTTAAATAGTTTTAATATTTATTATAATAAAAGCAATTTACTACATAAATAGCAGACATTTAACTTGTCATGGTAGGAAAAGCAGAAATGTTTCTATTAACACCGAACAATGGCTTCCACTAAGCCATTACAGTGGGATAGAGAGTCAGCATGCACTATACTGTACTAGGACATAGAAACTGAAGCATCACCACCTTTCCTACT